ACATCATACAGGATGACTTACACACGGAGGGGGGTAAGAGTGGTGGCCATGGGAAGAATATGTCCTACAAGGAAAATAATGGACCAGTAGATGCCAAAGGATGAACTAATGAGGGAAAGGTGTGCACCACAACTATAAGCTAAAGCCTTGAATAACTATAACGGAATCAATCCTGAACAGGATTTACTGACATAGATAAAAATTAGAGGGAAATTCTTTGAGTTAGCAAGTTAACTCTTTACCTAGTATCCTATCTACTTCAGGAATTATGTATAGAATTAACTCTAGACTTGGGAAAATCACATCTTATCTTAATGATGCCGGAGGGAAAAGCAGGTAATAGTTGATACTTTCCTAAAATATTTCCCACTGTATCACTCTAGTCCTGATAGAGCAGAATGGCAAACATATGACAGAATTACTTTTCTGCCCACAAAATTGTGTTAATGAACATTATTAGAAAATATACTCATCTCTGTTCCTTAAGTATATTTACTCACTCCCCCTTCATACTCAACATCTTTCATGTTTTCCTTCTCTTTATTTCTCTAGACTATATTCTGGTCATTTCTTTGGCTTTTATCTTCCAGTGTACTAATCCTCCCTTTATCTGTTTAAAATGTCTAGTTAAACTTCCAGAGATTATCTTTTCCTTTCACTTATATTTTTCTTTTATAGATAGAAGAGTCCTGGAACTCTGACAACTGAGGAGCCACTACCTCAGCCATGAACTGACAATCTAGATATTTATGTGAGAGAAATAAAATGTCCATTTAATTTACAGTCTTATTATGGGGTAAGCCTAACTAATATATCTAATTGCTTTGGGATTGCCTAATTCATGAATATTTCTATATCATCCAACAAATAAAATGTAAGGGCTTAAGTGCATCAATTTTATAAAACATTGCCTTAAATTACTCAAAGGTTATATTTACTTATACTCAACTACTTTCCATTTAGTTAACACTACTGAATAATTAACCTAACTGAACTATTATGTAATGAACACCACTCCCAATTATTTTCACAAAGATTACTCTCTGAACCTTCACAAAATGAAACCTTTTTTCAAAAATCTAAACATAAACAGCAATATCTTTAGTCCCAAAGATTTTAACTATTCCCTAGTGTGTGTTGGAAATTCAAAAAGAAAGACTGTAAGAAAAAGTCCATTAATGATTATTTACAAACTAGAGGCCTGGTGCATGAGATTAATGCATGGGGGGGTGGGGGGGAAGACAATAGAAGATTGGGGGGAGGTCCCCTCAGCCCAGCCTGCACCCTCTCACAGTCCAGGAGCCCTCGGGGGATGTCAGTCAGGCATCCGTAGCACTGCAGTGAAGGCGGAAGAAGCCTCCTCCAGCTGTGAGCTGTGAGCTGTGAGCCTGGCTTCTGGCTGAACAGCACTCCCCCTGTGAGAGCACACTGAATACCAGGGGGCAGCTCCTACATTGAGCGTCTGCCCCCTGGTGGTTAGTGCATGTCATAGTAACCGGTCATTCTGCCATTCAGTCAATTTGCATATCATCTTTTTATTATATAGGATACCGAAAGTTTTCCTATTACTGCCACTTAGAAATCATCAAGCTACTCTGGTCTTTGAAATTAAAGCACCTTCTTTTATAGATCCATTTGATTGTCAACACAGACATGAGGTGCCTCAGATACCTAAATCACAATGCTCCGTTTCTTTTCATATCATTCCAAACAAGTGGAAGTTTGGCATTTACTTCACTGTGAAGAAGATCTGAGAGATTAGCAGGCAGAGCTGGAGAAGAGCTGGCTGCATGTAGACAGCAATTGAAGAATCAATGTCAGACCAGTCAACTCCCCTCCACCACACCCTACCCAAAAAAAAGCAAAAGCCAGGATATAGTCAGCTGCAAGATACTGACTCAAACCAGAGGCCAACTCAAAGAAAACCATGGGTTAAAAGCGTTCCAAATTCTACCCAAAAAAATCCTAAGTAATAAAAGCCTAATATGCAAATCAACTGAACAGCAGAACAACAGGCAGAATGGCTGGTCGCTATGACACGCACTGATCACCGTGGGAGTGGAGGGGAGGAAGAGAGGCAGACTCTCAACACAGGCACTGCCTCCAGCCTGCAGGCCCCAGTCATCCAAGGCGGGTGCCAGCAGGGTCCCCCCAATGACTCTGCCAGTTGCCCCACAGAGGGAGGTGACCGGTGGCAGCGGCAGGGGGTAGGGCCAGCAAGCAGGTGGTGCCAGGCCAGCAATGGCGGTGCAAGCGGGTGGCCCCACAGATCGACCCTGATCACCGGCCAGGTCTAGGGACCCTGCCTAGCCACGGATTTCATGCACTAGTCCTCTAGTTTAGATATATAAAAGGCTAAGCGACCATTTGATCATTTGACCATTTGACCAGTAATTATTATGCACACTGACCACCAGGGGACAGATGCTCTAACCAGTAGTTACCTTGCTGACTGGGTCCAGCCGATCAGGAGTGGGCAAGACAGGCTGAACACACCCTGGAGCCCTCCCGTGGTCCCTCCTCTCCAGCCCTGATCATGCACCAGTAAGGTTCCTCAGCCTGGTCTGCACCCTCTTGCAATCTGGGACCCCGGGCTTCTAGTAATTAAAATAAAGTAAATGTAGATAAGCAACTGACCTTAAGCAGTGGTTCTCAAAATTTAGTATGAGTCAGAATTACCAGGAGTACTACTAAGATAGAGACAGCTGGGCCTCGCTGTCTCTAATTCAGTAGGTCATGAATGAAGACTGACAATTTGCATTTCTAATAAGCTCTCATGAATCTTATGCTGCCAGCCCTAGGTTCAACTTTGATCACCACCTAGAGAACATTCATATGAAGACTTGGGTGGGTAACATTTTTTTCTCTTTCTTCTGCAGAGAAGCTCTCTAGTTGTGAAAAAATTAGAGACTTTGTGGTCTCTACTGAGCCATTGGGGGGTCAAGAAAACATTCAGAGTGAGTGTTCTTGCAACAGCACATAATCAATCATGGGGAAACTTCTGAAAAACTTCTGATCCATGTTCCTCATCAGAGACTTTCATAATCTCCCACAGGACTAAATCTACAACAAATTTCTCAAGCTCATTCACTTAACTGGAATCTTATAGCATTAAACATTCCCCTAAGAGTCCTGACTTCAAAATTTCCTCAAAGTGAATTACTTTTTCAAATGTTTCTTATGAATTTTCCATTTATGAAATACTGAAAAAAATCTGCATTAATTGATTAGCTATATAACAACTAGTTGGCCTTACAAATATAATTCTCATAAGGGTATCCAAATTATTACAAATCAAATAGCTACTCAGTATATACCATCGATGTTTTCCTATTCACCTAAATATTTTAAATTCTTACATTAATTATTTTTTTATCCCATGATAGGATATTGGTGGCAATACATTTTCTAAAAAGTAGAGAGATTCCATTTATAATATGTTTAACTTAAGACCAAGTTGTTTCTAACTTAGAACTCTCATAAATTTCTAATGGAAGTGTAAAATGTCACAATTACTTTGAAAAACTCTCTTAAATGGGTTCTTTAAAGTTAAATTTACATCTACCATGTGACACAATGACTCTATTCCTGGATGTTTATTACCCAAAAGAAATTTTACAATGTTCACAAAAACATAAATACAGCCCCAGTCAGTTTGACTCAGTTGATAGAGCATTGGCCCTTGGACTGAAGGGTCCCAGATTTGATTCCAGTCAAGGTCACATCACCTTGGTTGCAGGCTAGATCCCTAGCCCAGTAGGGGCAAGTGTGAGAGGCAACCAATCCATGTATCTATCTCACTTCAATGTTTCTGTCTCTCCCCCTCCTTTTTACTCTCTCTAAAAATCAATGGGAAAATATCCCCAGGTGAGGATTAATAAAAACAAAACAAAACTTATGTACAATAATATCCCTAGCTTAACTCAAGCTCTGAGACAGGCTACACACACACACACACACACACACACACACACACACACACACACACACACAAAGTCCTTATGATCTATTCATACAATGGAATGGTACTTAGCAATGAAAAAGGAATATATTACTGATATAAGCACCAATATGAATGAATCTCAAAAGCATTAGGTTGAAAAAGCCAAACACAAAAAACATATACAGCACTGTGTGATTTCATTAATACAAAGCCCCAAAATGTGCAACAACCTATGGTAATAGCAAGCAGAAAGTGGCTAAGTTTAGGACATGGATAATGAACTGGCAGGGAAGATGAATTAATTCATCATTCCTGAAATGATGAAAATGCTCTATGTCATATTTTGCTCAGTGGTTACATTGATGTGTAAGATTGTCAAAAAAAGCTATCAAATTGAACACTTAATATCTATGCATTTTATTATATGCAAATGACACTGCACTAAAACAAGATATTCTTAAGCTTAATTATTTAAAGAAAAGAATGTTTTGCCAAAGTAGTGTTTCCTGAATTCAAAATATACATTAAACAGAACAAATCATTTGATGTCACAGATGAGTGTTTACAGAATCATGATTTTAAGCTAAAAGGAGCATGACTGTACACCAGTTTTCCTTAGATAGTCATCCCAATGTAGTCCTGATGTCACAGCATTAATAGTGCCTCCTTCACCATCAAAGTATTCTAATTTAGATTAACATTTATATGGACACTTCAACTATTGGAGCATTTAATGTTATTTATTATAATAAGCTCATTCACTTTTTCATACAACCCACATTTACAACGCATCTACTATGTAGATGGCCATAGTCCCTATGTTCTCAAATAATTCACATTGCTTTTTTTTCCCACAATCAAAATATAAAATAGCTAGATTTCCTCTAAACTTAACATAAAATATAAAACTGAGAACAAACTAAATATGGAACAAATCAGAATTTTTTCTACAAGGTAAGTAAGTATAAACCAAACTTACAAGGAAAAAATATTTTTGAACAGTAAATAACAAAAAATATCAAGATATTCACAAATATAAAATAAAGAAAACCTTTACCTGCTGCCCTGTAAAGTATTTTAGGTTCAAAAAATATACAAGGATTTTTATCCTCTATGCATGACAAAAGAAGTCCCTTGGCCTGGAAAGGGCTTCTGGGTATAACCACCTGCAAAAACAGATTTTTTTAAAGACAATTTCAGTAAAAATGCATCCCAGGAAACTCATTATAAGAAGAGTTGACATTTAAATAACCAATTGTTACTAATTAAAAATAGAAATCTGGCATTTTTGGCCTAATTACAATTCTTAATAAAAATTTACATTCTGTCCCAAAATAAAATCAACGTTTTTTAGATGCCTATCACATTCTGATGACTAAAAATGCTCTTCTCCTAAGGAGCTAAACCTGCATATACATAAAAATAAAAGTATTCTACAGAGCATTCATCAAAACAAAAAAGTAAAAGTTGTCAGTATCTTTCTGTATTTATCTATAAGTAAATATTTTCTACTAATACTCTACAGCTAATTTTGAAGGGTATGCAACTCTCTTCTCCAATTTTAAATATCAAAATCTCCTTTTCCATGAAAAACATGGTCTGCATTTCCTACAGGAAAGGGTAATACTCTGAACTTTACAATCGAGCACTATTAAGTAGTTAATGCAAAGGTAAAGAAAAGTGTGGATACTGCACACTTCCCGCTGACCGGGAAAGACTCCAGGACCTTCCTGGGAATGAGGCTGATAATGAAGAAAATGGTGATGACAGAAGGTACCACATATGTTAAGTGGGTCAAGAACACTTTGTGGACTAATTCATCTACTGTGCACAGCAACTCCACAAGGCAGCTATTGTTATTTTCCCCAATTTAAAAATGCAGACTAAAGCTTAAAGAGAGATCAAATAGTTCGCTCAAGGTTACATCGCTTGCTACACCAGGGATTCTCACCCATTTCTGACTGATACACAGCTCAAGTCTCTACACCATTTTCTCTCAAATCATAAACTTCACCTAATTTTCAATGATTACTAAATAATTGCATAAAATAAAGTTATATAGAAAAAGTTACCATTAAAATAAACCTGAATTTATCACAAAGGCTTAAATAAGGTTCCTTGAAGCAAGCTATATTCAGCTTTCAAAACTCTATAAACTGACTCCTGGACATAGTGCTTACCACATCACAATGTCTTTATCTTAAGTTCCCACTTTATTTCTTTTCTTCTGCTTTCTTTGTGTATTTATTTTTAGCATTTTGTATTATATGTACAATTTTCATTTGGGATTAAAGAAAGAGAAAGGGAGGGTAGAAAAAGTAGAGGATTGAGAGAAAAGATTTATTCTTAAAAATACTGGGTAACATCATAAACATTAAATGTGAATCAATGTTCAGCTCAAGCACAAAAATAACTATTTCCTCAAATGTGGCTTCTGTCCCAACTTACCACTTCCAGCTTACACTGAAAAATTATGCAACCTGTACCCTACTGGGAAAACTTTATGACTTTGCTCTAGTAGGAAAAAAAAAATTTTTAAATATAAACACATGTTCACAACCAGTTCATGTTATCAAAAAACAGACACACAGCTGTGGGTGAACATATCTATGACTTTTTATAATGATTCCCTAAAAGGCTCTTTAGTAAATAGAACTAGAAAAGAAGACAATGTAAAAAAAATTAAGATAAAATATGCAAAATGTTTTTATTAAAAGACCCAAGTTATTATATAAATTGAAGATCGTTGTGGAAGGCAAAGAAAGATATTCAACTTTCACTCTTTGAGCAAATATTGCCTTGCCTGGAGTGAAAAGCACAGCTGGGTAACAGAGGCCTCTGTTGGTCTATTTAAAAAGACACAGACTAAAAATAAAAGTCTATCCCTCTGACTAGGAATTAAACAGGTTTATAAATGTATCCCAGAAAAAGATTTATTAATTTACATGAAAAACACCTATTAGAAGGAAACAGAGCTTTGAAACAGATGAAGATAAAGCAATTATGTTCTCAGTCTTACTCTTTGAAGCCTAAAATTAATATCAGGTACTATTAATATCAAGCCAGGTACTATTTCAAAAAGAATACTCTATAAACCTGAGCAATGGGTTAATGAATATACATATTAAAAAAAAAAAACTATGCCCTTTTTTTAAAAAAAAAAGGTTTACATATATTTCCAAAATCCTGTTTTGTTTTCCTCTAGTTAAGCATTTTAGTTAATATTAATAGAATGAACCAAAATGAAAACCTCAAATGAAGATCAAATAAAATACATAAATGAGTATACCTTGATTCCTGGGCAGTGAGCAAAAAAAGCTTCAGGACTCTGAGAATGGTAGAGAGCCCCATGGCCAACACAGCCCCAAGGGGAACGGATGGTAAGGCTTCCGCAATTAAAAAGGTCCCCAGAGCGATATCGATACTTGGCAGCTTCATTAACAATCTGAGGAGGGAAAAGAGAAGGGACATGTCACAGGGAGTCCTTCATTCCCATCCATTTCTTTTGACCCTTTATTAGATCTTTACATATATGCCATAACAACATAACTTGCAATGCACTAGCTCAAGAGTAGCACAGAGTTCTTAAGATAGGGGGAGTAGAGGAAAAACTTCAATACTTCATGGACTTAACCTTAGAAATGACCAATTATAGTAAAATGCAATCTTCCTACCTGATCAAAAGCTGGGAAAATATAATCTGCAAACTGAATTTCTGCAATGGCAGTAGCACCAGTAACTGCAATTCCAATCCCAAATCCAACAATTCCTTGTTCACACAAAGGGGTGTTAAAAACTCTATCTTTTCCTAAAATAAGAAAATAAAATCATTTTACTATGACAAATGAGTGTAATGTAATACACAATACAACTGAAAAGCCAATGATTTGTATTGGTAAGATGGATAAAAAAAGAAAGGGACAGGTGAAAAAAATAGAAAGTAACTAGTATGATAGCTGCTTTAAATGCAAACATAGTAACTATATTAACTAAGTAATCTAAATGTTACAATTATAAGACAGTGTCACACTGAGATTTTTTTAAAAAGCAAAATCCAACTACTTAAAATGAAATAAAGAGTAAAGATATCAGAAAGTTATAAATAAAACACACACACACACACACACACACACACTAAAAATAAAAACTAAAAACACAAAGAAAATTGCTACATTAATAGTAGACAAAGTAGACTTTAAAGGAAAAGGCATTACCAGAGATAAAGAAGGAAAATTCATTCTCTAAAAGAGTTCAATTCACAAAGAGGATATAATTCTAAATTTAAACTCTTATGACAACATGGACTCCAAATAAATAAATAAATAAATAAATAAATAAACAAACAAACAAACAAACAAACAGAACTGAAAAAGAGATAAATTCCCAAGATAGTGGGCAATTTTAACATATCAATCTCAGTAACTGATAAAACATACCAAAATAAAAGTAAAGACTATGTAAGATTTGAACACCATCAACAAATATGATTTAACTGATAAAGACAACAGAGAACACTGGTGTTAATTAACCACATACTGAGTTATAAATCTAATCTCAACAAATTTCAAAGAATTGAAATAATATAGAGTATATTCTCTGACCATTATGGAATTAAGCTAAAAATTATTAACAAAAAGATAATTAGAAAATCCTTACATTAGAAAGAGTTTTAAACATGTGTCGAAGTATCTCATGACTCAAAGACTACGTTATAATGAAAATTAGAAGGCATTTTGACTGGAATGATAATAACAACTCTATGTATTCCAAGCTATGGAGGTTCCAATTTCAATAATCGCAGAGTAACCCTCACACATCTAATGATTACAAATTCTGAACAAAATATGACAAAACAACTACTTAAAGGCACTGGAGAGGCAAAAAAAAAAAAAAAAAAAAAAAAATCCTAAACTAAAAAAGATTGGATCCTTAGAAGAATAGCAATGTATGAGCATGGCATATACAAGGCATATCCCTTGAGGTGACTCCCCAGTTTCTGTAACATGAGACAGCTAGAATTCAAAGACAGACAGACACAGTCTTATTGGCATGAGGTGTTAGAGAATGGAGTATGGAGCTGCTAGTAGCTGGAAACTGAGGCCCTGGTCCCTAAAAAAAAAAAGGCACTACATGTGAGGGCAACCCAAAAACTGTGCATTAAATCTTCTTAAATCCTTGGTTGATCCCGGTGCCTACGAGAGACTCCAAAAGCACAGGAAGTAGCAGTTGAAAGCTCAAAGAGCTGAGGATAGATTTCAGCTCTGCTCACTAAAAAGCAGGCAGAATTTGGAATTTGAGATTCTGTCAAATAAAGGAGCTTGATAAACAAACACCTTAGGCTTTCTACTGAAACAACAAGGTATAATGTTACTAACATACACAATTCAATTCTCATCTGAAATTTTATCATCTCTCAAACCATATTAGCATTTCATGAAAAATTCTAATTTCAGGGACATGGAAGGATAGACATAAGCAATAGCCACAGTCCGAAAGTTTGGGGATAGATCTATGACATATTTCAGTTCCATAATATAGGGATACTAGTTCTTTTTGGCACACAGAATTTACTTTCAGCTCAATCAGTCCTTTTGAATATGAACCATAAATAGAGCAGGTGCTAGAAAATGCCAACTAGCAACATCCTACAGTTTGCACTCTAAAAGCAGCTGCAAAAACTTAAAGCATGATTCATACTCATCCCAATCTGTGACTACCTTCTGACTGTGACCTCTATCCCTCATCAGTTCCCTATTTGACTATGAGTTGCTTGATAATTTCTGAAAATGTATGATTTCATTGAATTAAGAACAATTCACTGGTAGAAAATGAACACAGATTCCAGCTGCCACCTGTGGAATCCACACCTGTGGAATACCTGAACCATCTGAACCAGAAGAAGAGTACTGTTTACTAGAGGCCAGGTGCACAAAATTCATGCACTCAGGGGGGCCTGCATCCACTTGCAGTTCGGGAGCCCTCAGGGGATGTCTGACTGATGGCTTAGTCATGCTCTCCATAAAAAGTGAGCCTTAAGCCATCAGTTGGATATTCTTATCACTGCCACGGAGATGGGAGAGGCTTCTACTACCACCTCCCACTACCACAGCTGCGCTTGCCAGCTGTGAACCCAGCTTCTGGCTGAGCAGCACTCCCCCTGTGGGAGTGCACTGACCACCAGGGGACAGCTCCTGCATTGAGCATATGACTCCTGGTGGTCAGTGCACGTCATAGCAACTGGTCATTCCACTCTTCAGTTGATTTGCATATTAGCCTTTTATTGTATAGGATTCCTTACTACTTCTAGTTCCCTGAATTCAGATATTTTTCATCTCAGTAAGTATAGTCCGTTTTGCTCCTAGAAGGCAGAAAAGTTGAGTTTATCAGAATTCTTACTCCAAAAGATGCTTTATTTGAGGAAATAGCTTTACTCTTTTCATGTTTCTATGATCTAGGGGGAAAAACAAAACAAAACAAAAATCAAAAAACAAAACAAAACCCTGCTTCAACATGAATTAAATGTTAAAAATCTATTTCTATTTTCTCCCAAACAGGTAATGATTGAGAGAAGAGCACACATAAAATGTAAAATACTGATGACTTTCTATATTATAATGCAATTAACCTGGTATAAAATTCATACCGAATGGGTAAATTAATAACACATTCAATGATTATACCATTAGCCAAGACAGATGTGAGTTTAAGTATAATCTCCACAAATTACTAACTCCTAAGGCTCAATTTCTATTTGTAACAGAAAAATCATGATACTGAAGACTAAAAATTCACACCTTTTTCAAACATTTACAAAATACTTAATACTATGTAGACACTATTCTAGATGCAGAAGATACAGCAGAAAAATAATTCTATTCTTATATAATTTATATTCCAATCAGGAAAAGGACAAGAACAAAATAAATGAGTAAGATATATAGTGTGTTAAATGACAACAAATGGTATGGAGAATAGTAAAGCAGGAAGTAGATGACTGGGACAGCAGGTGGAACTACTATGATTTTAAACAGGATGATGGGAAAAGACCCACTGAGATGTGACAGCTAAAGGAAGAAATGAAGCGTGAGGAAGCATACATGCATACACGCGAGGGAATATATGTTCCAGGCAGAGGGACCAGCTAGTGCAAAGGTCCTGAGGTATAAGCATGTTTTAGCACATCAGGGGAAAGACAAAAAGTTCAGAATGGTCTGGAGTAAGAAATAGTGAGAGAAGATAAAACTGAAGAGTCCATGGAAAGGTACGGGAAGATGGCACAGAGAGAGGGCCTTGTAGGTCACTGTAAACTTTAACTGTGAGAATGAGTCAAGTAGGTAAGCTGGACAGGAAGCCGATGAGCAAAATCATGGCATTCTCTGACGTGGCATTTCAATAGGATCCCTCTGGCTGGTATTTGGTGAATAGCCTATAAATAGACAAGGATGGACACAGCAAAATTGATTACAGGATATTACAATAATTCAGTAAGAATGATGAATTATAAAAGCAGAAAAGGTGTGAGACTTTGGATATAGTCTAAAGATAGAGTCTAAAAGATTTGCTGATGAGTTGGATGTGGAGTATGAGTCAGAGAAATGCTAAAGATGATTCAAAGGTTTTTGTCCTGAGCAACTTGAAGAAGAGAATTGCCATTAACTAAAAAAAGGAAAACCACAAAGAAGGATGTTAAGATATCAGAAGTTAAGTTTTGGAAATACTAAGTTAGGAATACCTTCAGATATTAAGATAAGCTATTAATTTGACTGTTGGATATATGAAACTCTTAAGCACAAAAATAGCATTAAAGAAAACAAGGGACTAGATGAGATTACCAAGTAAATTTAGATGAGCATATAGAGAGAAAAAATTCAATGTTACAAAGGCAAGAGGTAAGAAATAAATCAGCAAAATTGAAAAGAAAAAAGAAAAAAAGAAAAAAGCCAAAGAGTTTGCATGAGAACAAGGAGAATGTGCTGGCCTAGAAGAAAGTGCTTCTAAGAGAGAGTGTAATCAACTTATGCTGTATGCTACCAATAGAAGGGAAGATGAGGCTGAAAATGTTAACTGGTGACATTAACATAACGGTGTCTGCAAGTAGGAAAAAGGGAAAAACAAAACTCCATTTCAATAGGGAATGGGAGAGAGAAATTGAAGACCATGTGTAATGGCAATTATTTGCAGATATTTTGCTATAAAGGAGAGGGGGGGGGAGAAGAGAGGAGCAACAACTAGTAAAAAATGGAAAATTGATGATTTTGAGAAAAAATAATGAAATAGAGAAAAAAGAATGACTAGAAAGAACCATGTCTTTTAAAAGGTGACAAAAGCCGAAATCGGTTTGGCTCAGTGGTAGAGCGTCATCGGTCTGCGGACTGAAAAATCCCAGGTTCGATTCAGGTCAAGGGCATGTATCTACATTGGTTGCGGGCACATCCCCGTTAGGGGGTGTGCAAGAGGCAGCTGGTCGATGTTTCTCTCTCATCGACGTTTCTAGCTCTCTATCCCTTTCCCTTCCTCTCTGTAAAAAAAAAAAAAAAAACACAATAAAATATATTTTTTTTTAATTAAAAAATTAAAAAAATAAAAGGTGACAAAAAAGGAAGGAGTCTAGTGTGGAGATGTTAACAGAAACCTTTACATTCATTCCAAAAAGGAATAAAGAATGCAAGCACTGATGCTGGAACATGGATATACTGCATACAATGTTGAGAGCTGGTCAAAGTTCTATTAGTTGCATCTGTCTTCTCAATAGAATATGAAAAATTAGAATATTATCAAGAGGAAGAATAGAGAAGACAGTGTGAGAGA